AGGGAGAGCAGCTTGGACTGAAGCAGGAGACTGATCCCTTTATGTTGACTCCTACTTATGAGGACAGTGACCACAGTGAACCAGAACCAGACAGTGACCAGCAGCTCCTCTTTCACAGCTCTCCTGTAGCTGAGAGCCAGGATCAGAAAGGAAACCAACATGTAGACTCAGTATCAACCAGTCACAGTAGCAATGTGGACAACTCTCCCATGTCACAGACTGACTCTGATCCTACCACAGGTAACAAGTCCTTCAAATGTGACACCTGTGGGAAAGATTTTACGTTTAAGTCCGATTTGAACCGACATTTGACAGTCCACATGGGTGAGAAGCCATATTCTTGTGAAACATGTGGGAAGAGTTTCACTCGTTATAATACCTTGTTGGCACATATGAGAATCCACACAGGTGAGAAGCCATATTCTTGCAAAACATGTGGGAAGAGTTTCAGACACAGAAGTGGCTTGCAGGTCCACATTAGAATCCACACAGGTGAGAAGCCATATTTTTGCAAAACATGTGGGAAGAGTTTCAGACATATAGCTGGCTTGCAGCGCCACATGAGAATCCACACAGGTGAGAGACCATATTTTTGCAAAACATGTGGGAAGAGTTTCAGACATAGAGATGTCTTGCAGCGCCACATGAGAATCCACACAGGTGAGAAGCCATATTTTTGCAAAACATGTGGGAAGATTTTCAGACAAACAAGTGACTTGCAGCTCCACATGAGAAACCACACAGGTGAGAGACCATTTGTTTGCAACACTTGTGGCAAAGGATTCAAGCAGAGCTCACAAATGACTGCTCATTTAAGAATCCACACAGGTGAAAAGCCATATTCTTGTAAAACATGTGGGAAGAGTTGCACACAAAGAGGTAACTTGCGTGTCCACATGAAAATTCACACAGATGAGAGGCCTTATGTTTGCAACACCTGTGGGAAACGTTTCAAGCAGAGCTCACAACTGGATGCTCATTCAAAGATTCACACAGGTGAGAAGCCAGGATTAATCCCGGCCGGCAATCGGGCGAAGGCAGGGTACACCCTGGACAGGTCGCCAATCCATTGCAGGGCTAACACATAGACGAACAAGCACACACACACTCCTATGGGCAATTTAGAGACACCAATCAACCTAAGCTGCATGTCTTTGGACTGCGGGAGGAAGCCGGAGTACCCAGAGAGAACCCACGCAAGCACAGGGAGAACATGCAAACTCCACACAGAAAGATCCCGGGTGAGGCCTGAACCCAGAGCCTTCTTGCTGTGAGGCAACGGTGCTAACCACCATGCTGCCCCACGTAGTGCTGATATTCCATAAAATGAAAGATTTATCGCGAGTTACTAACAGATTTCATCTGAGGGTTGGATGGGAATTTCTGGAGGCCTCTTAAGCCGAGTAGATGCTGTATGACTTTTATTGATCGTATACGATGTGTTAACAATGTGGGTGTTCACTCTGGATGTTTAAACAGAACTTTGGAGTGGATGTGTTCATTGACAAGTCCAGTAAAGTTTAGGTCAACCAAAAGACAAACAGCATTACTTTTAGCCACTATACTTTGTACAGTTGATGAACAGCAGTAATCTGCTGTCACTATTTTTCTTGCTACTGCAGATCGTGATACTGTTTTGTGGTGCTGCCAGAGCTCATTTAACCTTGTCCATATACAGTATATACTGTAAATATATGTGGCCTATGGCCTTGTGTCAGTTGATTGTGTCCACAAAATATGATCTAATTTGGGCCATGTTGTTATGTAGTCTTCGTACTCACTCTAGTGCACTGAACTAACTTCAGACCGTGGACCTGCAAGACAACCGACAAAATTTCTGACATGCCAGAAATCCATCTGATCCATCGACAGCTAGGTCATTGGTCGTTCAGGTAATTAATCTGGTGCCAGGACCCTGTTCATACTGGACGTCAAATGACCATTGATGGGGCCCAAATTCATCTTGACCCTAACAGTATTTGGGCCCGACTGAATTGGGTCTAAAATCGGGCCAAATCTGTACAGTGTCTGTTTGGGTTTACGATGGGACTGAATGAGGACTTAGACGGCCCATCTCTGTGGTTTTGGCCATTTCAGTGAAAAACCATACATCCTGTCACAATACGAATCGCAGTGCCTGAATTCTTACAAGTTTTCTGTGTTTTTGATATATAACTTGTTTATGGAAGTTAAGAGTTGACTGAATAAAAGAAGAAAATGGATCAAAAAGTGGAATAGAGTTGAAGGTAAGAGCCTACAGTGGATGATGTCACTGTGAGTCATCATCCGCTGTAGGTGAGAAGCCTTTTTTTTTATATTAGAATTCAGGCAGCAGGCAGGTCATTGTTACTGATAAGTTTGAATTTTTATTATTAAAAATGATTTTTGTTTTCTTGATCTGGAGGCCGTCTGCTTTACCATGTCAATACGTATTGATTTACAATGTTTAGGCCTGTTTGACCTTCACTGGATTTCTGGAAAAGCATCACATCACTGTCTCATATATACAGAGCAGTTACCCCACAAGTGATAGCGATCGTAGCAACCTACACATTTTTTGAGTTTCATTAGTGATTCTGATCAGTTTCATAAATTTAATATTAATGTAAATGAGCACTTGGATTAAATAAAGAATTTAAATGGTCAACTCAGCATGAATCATTTTCATTTACACAAGTGCCGTTAAACACATCAGTGTAAAGACCTGCCTTTATTTTTATAATTTTACTTATGAATTTCCTTTGTTTTAAGTGATGCTAGTGTCAGCAATATTTATAAAAAGTGAGTGTTGGGTGATACAAATGTTGTCACCTTTTTGGTTCCACACTGCTTTGCACCTGTATGAAGGCCACGATATGCTAACCCCTGGACATAGGAATAAAGCTTAACCTCTCACACCAAAGTGGCATATTTGAAACATATTAAAGCTCCAAACACTGCTTGAGGTTTTATGACGGAGATATTTACTCAGTAATTGACTACCATGAACCTGCGAACAGAGTTCCGTGCAGACCTCCCTCTTTCATGTTATTAATTCAGGTTAAGACCCCAAAACCTCCCAAATAACAACAACCTGCAATTATAGTGGCAGCTACCTCCTTATACCCTCAGATGTTACTGTACTGAGAAATTTTTATAAACCAGTACACTCTGGCTCTGAGGATTCTGGTCAGTAGACTTAGTCCTCTCATCCAACCAGATGCCACAGTTTGCAGTTAATACCTTATTTGGCATGCAAAGTCATATTCTTTAGAACTATTGCATATTGGTTTACTGTCACAGCTCAAGTCCACTGCCCGTAACTGGCCTCCACCCCACCATGATTCAGCCTCGGATTCTACTTCTCTTTTCTCAGAAAACTAAATCATCCTAAATACCTAATAAAGATACAAGGAACTCGTGTCTGATTGAAATACCAAAATCCCATTATTGCGTTTAACTAAACAATCAGAATTACACTCTGATTACACAAAACTACCAATGCCTTAAAATCAAAACATGGATCTTTATATTTTGAATATAATACTTGACTAAACATTGATTATCATTGATTAGACATTGATCAAACATTAATTATCAATCTAATCTTTACTTTATGCATGAGACCATGTTTTTCTACTTTCCTTAATACTCTGTCTCCTTTTATTTTTTCTTCCTCTCTTCTCTCTGTCAGTCCCACGTTCATACAGACACACCTCCCGACTTCCTCATTTCAGGGATGTGTGTTACTTCCCTTTTTCTCTGTCAGAATTGTCTCACTGTCTATGATTTAGATTCTGACTGTACTTTAGACTTCTAAATGTACCTTTTTCAATACAATCCTTTCTCATTTTATTCTTACCCATTCACTAATGATTATTTCAAACAAAACACACACATAAATCATCTTATGATTATCTTAACTTTTCTACTTTATACATTCTGCTCTACGGGACCCATATTTACAGCTTCACTGACACACCTCTGGGCTTATTCGCCAAAAAATGATTAGTTTGATGCATAAATACTTGTACATTAAAGTATCCATCCATAATCTATAACTCTTATCAATCCCCAGAGGCGGGGTCCACCCTGGACAGGTCACTACTCTGTCGCAGAGCTGACACATAGACAAACAACCGCACACACACACCCGCACTCACTGCTAAGGGCAATTTAGAGTCGCCAGTCAACCTAAGATGCATGTCTTTGGACTGTGGGAGGAAGCCCGGAGCACCCAAAGAGAACCCACACAGGCACAGGGAGAACATGCAGACTCAACACAGAAAGGACCCTTTTCAGCTCGGGCTCGAACCTGGAACTTTCTTGCTGTGAGGCGACAGCGCTCACCTTAATAAAATATGATTTCTTGATAGAACATTCATCAAAATGTGTAACATGGAAAGAAATAAAGAGAGGAAGACCTTTATCTTGTCTCGCGGCTGCAATATTGTGTAAAACGGAACCAAGAGTGATTCACCTCCACCGCCGGAGTTTCGCAATGTGACACACAGCGGAACTAAAATAGCCCAACGGTTGTTAGCTTTGTGGATGTTTGGTGTGAGTTGAAGGTGGTTGCATAGTTATATCGTAGATAAATATTTAAGTTACAACAAATCCACAATGTCTGCATTTCAGTATCTGAGAGATTCTATCAACGAGCGAGTAACTGTTGCTGTTGACGAAATATTCACAGTCTTTGAAAAAAGTGTCATGGAATACGAGGAAGAGATCGATCGTCAGCGCAGACTCCTGGATATCGTCTGGAAACCCCAGCTGAAGCTACACAGGATAGGTCTGTAAAACATAAATGATGTTAATAAAGCAAAAATTAAACATAATTTAGCATGAATTAGACGTTTGCTCAGGTTTCCGTTTTTACCGACACCGGCTTCTTAGTCGAACGCTTCTGTGTAAAACAAACGGGGAAATAAATTGCTTTAACAGCACCTTTGGATTTTGACGTTAGAATGAAATGTCTTTAATTTCATTTACAGTAGAGTATTTTAACTTTTAGTCTTGTTTTCTGATTACCTTCTGAACTGTGTACAGTGATTTGAAGTTTCTGCATCTGTTAATTTGTAAAATTGAGCTTTTTTTTTTAAGTCTAAAGAGGAAGTTATTTGAATTTATTCCCTTAATCATTACATCTTTCAGTTCATAGGTCAGTGTGAAAATGATCAAACAGTACCATATACAAGCTTTACAACACATTTAAGGCAGACTGAAAAATTCCATTAAGAAGCTTGTGAATAAGAAGCATCACTCTTTTTTTCTCTTTTCTCTCTCATCACATCATTGACCTTTGTCCTTCCAGAGCTGCCTCAGCAACATGTCTGTAAGGAGGAGGTTCTGGCTGACCAGCAGCTCTGTGACCAGGAGAGGAACTCCAGTCTGGACCAAGAGGACCCAGAGCCTCCAGAGATTAAAGAGGAACAGGAGGAACTCCGTAACATTCAGGAGGGAGCGCAGCTTGGACTGAAGCAGGAGACCGATCCCATTATGTTGACTCCTACTTATGAGGACAGTGACCACAGTGAACCAGAACCAGACAGTGACCAGCAGCTCCTCTCTCACAGCTCTCCTGTAGCTGAGAGCCAGGATCAGAAAGGAAACCAGCATGTAGACTCAGGATCAACCAGTCACAGTAGCAATGTGGACAACTCTCCCATGTCACAGACTGACTCTGATCCTACCACAGGTAACAAGTCCTTAAAATGTGACACTTGTGGGAAAGAATTTAAGTGTAAGTCGAAATTGAACCGACATGTGAGAATCCACACAGACGAGAAGCCGTATTCTTGTGAAACATGTGGGAAGAGTTTCCATTATAGTGATTCCTTGTGTACCCATATGAGAATCCACACAGGTGAGAAGCCATATGTTTGTTGTACCTGTGGGAAAGGATTCAAACAGAGATCAGCATTGTATACTCATTTACGTTTGCACACAGGCGAGAGGCCGTTTGTTTGCAAAACATGTGGGAAAGGATTCAAGCAGAGGTCAGAATTGACTGGACATTTAGTAATCCACACAGGTGAGAAGCCGTATTCTTGCAAAACATGTAGAAAAAAGTTTACACGTAATCAACACTTGTTGGTCCACATGAGAATCCACACAGGTGAGAAGCCATATGTTTGTTGTAACTGTGGGAAAGGATTCAGGCAGAAGTCAGAATTGACAGTTCATTTAAGAAACCACACTGGTGAGAAGCCATATTCTTGTGAAACATGTGGGAAGAGTTTCCATCGTAGTCATTCCTTGTGCACTCATATGAGAATCCACACAGGTGAGAAGCCTTATGTTTGTTGTACATGTGGGAAAGGATTCAGGCAGAGGCCAGAATTGACCATTCATTTAAGAATCCACACAGGTGAGAAGCCATATTCTTGCAGTAACTGTGAGAAAAGTTTCCGTAGAGCGTCACATTTGAAAAGACATAAAAGAGTTCATACAGGTTAAAAGATGTATTCTTGCAAAACGTGGGGGAGATTTCAGACGTAGTGCTGATATTCCATAAAATGAAAGATTTATCGTGAGTCACTGACAGCTGCCATCTGAGGGTTAGATGAGAATTTCTGGAGGCCTCTTAAGCCGAGCAGATGCTGTGCGACTTTTATTGATCGTATACGATGTGTTAAAGATATGGGTGTTCACACTGGATGTTTAAACAGAACTCTGGAGTGGATGTGTTCATTGACAACTCCAGTAAAGTTTAGGTCAACCAAAAGAAAAACGGCATTACTTTTAGCCATTATACTTTGTGTTATGGACGTAAGTGCAGAAGTAAGAGAGGGAGAGGTAGACCAAATGAG